GGTTGAAATTGAAGCTTAGAAGCAATTTTCGGATCTTTAATGATCATTGATGAAATTGCCTGATGGTTTGATGAATTCAGACAGGAAGAAACTTTAGCATCCTTTCCTTTCAATGTAAGACCTATTGCTTTTGTCAACACACTTATTATTAATATCCATTTTCAAATCGAATCCTGTACAATGTTGAAATACACTTTCAATTCATGACCTTTGTTTAAATCTAATTTAGGCAGGTGTATGGAGCCTTGAAATCAGTAACGACGATAATAGTCTCACGGAATACGTTAGTATGGACGTGATTTCTAAACCTCGTTCTGAAGATGTTTATCCTCCAGTTGTAAATAGCTTCTTAGGGACATCGGATGGTTACAAATCTTGTTCCAAATCATTTCTTCTATCTGTCTCATTCCCTAATTCAGTTTGCCATTCTTTGACGCCCCCCTCTCTCTCTATCTTTCTCTCTTTTTTTTCTTCTCTCTCTCTCTCTCCCTCCCCCTCTCACTGTGTGTCTGTCTGTGTGTCTCTCTCTCTTTCTCTGACTCTTTCTCTCTCTCTGACTCTCAGTCTCCCTCCCTGTGTGTGTGTGTGTGTGTTTGTGTTCATGTGTGCGTGAGCGTGAGCGTGTGCGGGAGCAGCTTAAGATTAATGAAGATTTGCTTTCTTCTCCACCGTGAGCCTGTTAAAAGCGTAACTCGATTTTGCGGCCTGGATAACTTATTTAGTGGCCTGGATAACTTATTTAGTATATTTTTCTTGAGTTGAGAATGTTGGCAGACATCCACTGAGTGAGTACTGTGTGTGTGTGGGGGGGGGGGGGGGGGGTGGGTGGTGGGTGAGTATGTGTGTGAGTGGGTGAGTATGTTTGTGTGATAGAGGGTGAGTATGTCTGTGTGATGGAGGGGGCAGGGAGGGGGCAGGGAGGGGGCAGGATTGTTTCAGTAAAATTACCTCCAGATTTGTTTTTTTTTGTAATATATAAGTAAATAACATTTACAATTGACATATTATGTTTAAGTACTTATACGTTTACTTTGTTACTAAGTTATATTATACTGCAAATAAGTTTGTGTTTAATTATGTTTATGTAAAAGCATCAATATATTGAACACGTTTATTTTATTCCATTGTATGTCATGGTTTGTATTACACATCTGGAGAAATAAAACAAAATTGTTAAAAAAAAAAAATTTTAAAAGTGCGCGTGTGCGTGCGTGTGTGCGTGTGTGTGTGCGAGGGAGAAAGAGAGAGAGAGAGAGAGAGAGAGACAGAGAGACAGACATACAGACAGAGACAGACAGACAGACAGACAGAGAAAAAAACAGCCATGGTCTTGTTTGTTTGTTTGTTTGATTGATTTTATTTCTGCGTTCAAAAATCAAGGTTATACATTTTTACATAAGTATAACATACATAGCAAATCATGTCTAATAATATTTTACAATAACCATAATACAAAGCATACAAACAAGTACAACGGATATTTGTATATACTTTTCATTGAACTAAAGAGATAAATTTCAGGACGCAGGAGACCGCCATCTCGAGCGGTAAGGCTGGAAATGGATGGCGGCCTCGTGAAAAAAAAAAAGAAAAGAAGAGATTTAGCAACAAACTCTCTTGGTTAGAACCTCGTAAGGTGATCAAGTGGGTGCAGATGCGGGTGCAGCAGACGGCAGTTGAGTAAAAGGGATATTAAATCATGGTTTCAGACAAAGCTATTATACTAATTTAGACCGGGGTGGGGGGGGGGGGGGGGGGGGGACTCAGATTTGGTTTGGGGGGGGGTGCCGCTCAAGCCTCGAAACCCCTACCCATTAATGGCGGTCAGCCTCGAAACCCCTACCCATTAATGGCGGTCAGTTTGGGGCATTTTTATCGAAAAAAGACCCATTTTTGATGGTATTTTTTACTAAAATTGGGACCCGTGTTTAGGGATATTTTGTGAAAACGTTACCCATTAGAGCGGCACACCCCGCCGTATGTTCTCATATGTGAGTACCTACCCCCCCCCCGAAAGTAAGAGCGTTTGGCACATATGATTGTATTATTTTTCGTTTAATTGTGGCTTTCAAGGAGTAGAGGGTTCATCAAGATTTGATGTTGTCGGGAAAATTATTCCAAATATCCAGACCACAATGTCTAATGGATTTGTGCGTTATTAATAATTTGGGGTTATAGTTAGATGGAAATTTCTAGATATGCGAGTAGGGTAGGAATGAACAGAACAATTGAAACTAAACATGTTATCAAAGGAGATCAAAGGAGTAAAATGGCGATATAATTAATCCAAACTCTTAAATCAAATGCTTTAATTATCATTTTCAGCTTATCATAATCACGATAACATAAACATTGTAGAGTTCGAATAAAAACCTCGGCCATCCTCCATTTGTGATGAGATCATTACTCTAAGTAATAATAATAATAATAGTGTAAACTTATAGAGCACATACGACGTCCAGGGACGCTCATGGCGCTAGCCCAGCAACAGTAAAGTAAATGTTTATTATATAATAGAGTAATAATAGAGTAACACCATCAGAAACTCATAAACAATATTTGATATTATTACTTTGAACTTGTTATTACTCTTATTACCTTGATAAAAACCAAACCTGAGCTCAAAAACTCGCTAAGAAAACGTTGTAGAATTGTGGTTTTATTTTTTTAATAGTCGTTATTAAGACATCGGACTGTAGATCACTAATAATTACATCAGAAGTACGGCCATCAAATCAATTCCACATTTGTCCAAGCATAGATAAATGGGTATCGGTATCAGAATAATTCTTTGAATGCTCGAATACCGAATCATGGTAGCGAGACTAAGTTTAAAGTGACTGTACTTGTATTTAGTACACTTAATTTATCACTAAATTGTACACGATGAACGGGATTAAAATAACAATATAGCACACACTTTACTTAGTTATGTTAATGAAATAGTAATCACTTCTGTAAAGTGTCTATATACATGTTTATATACCATCTAAGTAGATCCTTGTTTTGATTGGAGGATTGTTAGTCACATAATATTCAATAAATAATCTTTTGAACGACTATACGTCATCGAGCGTGTATTTTTGGTTGTAATTCGCCGTGCATTTTTGTTCTATCCTGCATGCATTTTTGGTTATATGTTAAATAAACAAATAATGAATGTTATTCATTCGTTCAATAGTGCGAATATTTTAATTCGTTGAAAAATGTACGTTCTATTGAACTCATAAACATTCATTATTTGTGTAATATCATTTTAGTTCAATGTAGCTTAATATTATCCAGATTATACATCAAAAGTATTTACATTGAAAACGATAGCAACTTCTTTTGAAAAATCAACCTAACGAAATTTCAATGTCATTGTGCGTCACCAATTGATATCTGCGAACATGGCAATGACGTATTACGTAATAATCCGAACATGGCTCCTATTGGATATACGATATATTTAATAGGGTATTGAAATTGAACTTGAGTTGATTTTTCAGAAAATAGTTGAGAGTGATAGACGACAAACAGTTACTTTATACACATTTCATAGAAATACAAATTAATACTAGTTGCTTAGTAACAATGGCTTATAGCGCGAGGGATGCTACTTGCATTAGGGGGGGGGGGTGGGCATCGGGTATCGATCTTATGAGATGGATGAACTAGAAGTTAATAACATCACTGAATAGAGGGAGGGCATGGGAGGCGTCACATCTTCTTTTTTTCATGATCTTTTTACCTTCTCCCTTTCTTTTTCTATATAATGTTCAAATACATTAAATAGGCCCTTCGTTTGAATGACTTTGGAAAAAGAAAGTTTAACAAAGGGGATAGACGATCATTTCCATTTAGTTGATAGGAGAGATATGGAAGCTGGAATGAACATTAAATAAACCTAGAAGGTACTCTATTTATAGAAACTTTAGGATTTGTTTTATTTTTTATAAAGTTTTTTTTAATATTATTTTCTCTCAAAACAAATACATATTGTACAAATCATTCTTAACAATACTGGATATATTGTACATTGATATTTTGGATTAAACATAAATTACAATTATAACAAGAAAACAAAAGTACTATGAATAGAGATGAGCTTCACGGAGGGGAATTACAGCGAGATTATACTCGTATATTTGACCATAAAGTGACATGTCTGAACACAGTAGCAAGAGGTTTAGGAATTTTCACCGAAAGGACGTTCTGTATTTTGAATTGACATAAATTACTATACATTCAATATTTGTGCATAGTCATGAAATTGGTCCAAAAAATATTAAAAATGATCACGTACTTTTTGAAGAAGAATGATCAAAATTGTGTTAGAAAAATCCCATTAACACTTATTAAAGGAAAAAAAATAGGAGAAAGGGAAAATAATAGGACTGACTTTATACCTGTCCAAATTAAATAGTACAGTTAAGAGCCTGTGATAGTGGAAATACCAAATAATCCAGAAAAAGGTGATGTAAATAGGTACCTGGCAGCAGGGGCGTACGCAGGATTTTTTCAAGGGGGGGGGGGTTTAAAATCGGGCCCAAAATATTTTGTTCCCGAAAAATTTAAAATCGCGCCGGCCGAAAAGTAGCTCAGTTGGGGGGGGGGGGGGGTAAGCGGACACTTTTTTTTTTTTTTTGGTCTCGAAATTTGAAAATTTGACATTTTTCTTCGTTGGGGGGGGGGGGGGGTAAGGTCACCTTTTTTATGTTAGCCGTAGGGGGGTTTACACACATAAAATACAAAAGGGGGTTTGAACCCCCAACCCCCCCCCCCCCCCCCCCCTGCGTACGCCCCTGCCTGGCAGGAAATAATTCCTTGAAATCCGAGAGCGCCGTAATGGCAGCACAGCTTAAGCCAGGGTAATAATCTCCAAGTTTGGAACCGCTTAGAGACTAATTGTAATTCGCGCTTTATAAAAGCTGAGTATTATCATTATAATCGAAACAAGTAAAACATAATTCTCAATCTTTCAAATGATAAGTGTTTTTGCTGACTACTGACATTTATCAATTAGGAGGTATCAGGTGATTACACCTGAGATTGATCTTAAGATCCCGGATCAACTCCTCCCAAAAGTAGTCTCGTCCTCTTTCATCGTCTGGCCAAACCAGATACGGTCGATGATCACTGAGAAACAGTCTGATTAGGAAAGGGAGCTCGTCATCCACAACGTCCTCCACAAATACGAGAATCATCTTCTCTGTGCCGATGTCATTGACGTGATCGAGAACGGTTCGGAACTTCATCATGAACCACTGGTCCTGTAAGGCAGCGTGACTGATCACGATAATAGTCTTGAAGCTTTTTTCTGTAGCGTAGTGGACGGCGTCAAGATAGTACATACCAAGCATGAGTTCTTCATCACCACAAACGATTCGATTGAAGGCTGGAACTCGCTCCATCAGGGCTGGTCGCAAATGTTGGTTGACCCACATATCGTCGGCTTCGTCGAGCATGATGGCGATATCGTACTGGAATTCTCCTCTGTCGACCTCGTCGTATTTCTCTTCGTATCCAATGAAGCAGAGCTTTAGAAGGAACAATCGATATCTGATCCACCATCGCTGGTAGTAGATCAAACCTAGAGCAAAGATCAGTACCATACCTAACATCGCCAAACAAGAGTAGAGGATGATGTTCGGACCACATTCGTCTCTAGGATCAAAAGTTATTAATTGTTTTCCCCTAAAAGGCTCCAAAGTCACTGCATTATCGATGCATGTCGTATCCGTCGACTCAATGAGCTCTACTGTCCCTTTCAACCAACCAGGTAACCATTTAAGATCACAATTACAGACTAGGGGATTGAGAGATAGGTCAAGTGTCGTTAGACGCGCTAGGGGTTCAAACGTGCTACGGTTCAAGCCAGATATACGATTTCTCGAAGCATCAAGATGCACAAGACCTGATAAGTACTTAAACAAATTAGAATCAAGGTATGTCAACTCATTTCCTGACAGAAGTAGATATTTCAAATCATATAATTCATCAAACAACCCAGTGGAAATAACCCTTAGATGATTATATTTCAAACTCATTAAGACAAGGCTTCTTAGATCTATAAATATACTTATTTCTAATGCTACAAGAGAGCATTGCTCCAAACGTAAAGTTTGGAGATTCGATAAATTCTGGAAGACGCCCAATGGGATGTGAAACAATAGATTACTTGAAAGTTCAAGTCGCGATAGGTTTTGCAAACCAAAGAAAGAAGATTTGTTGTCGGATGAATCCCATAGCATTTCAGGCCAAGCGCATTGTTGATTAGATTGAGCGTTGTTAAAGAGGGCGCTTCATTGCCAAGGTTACCGGGTCGGATCAAACTTGTAGGGCAATTTGAAGACTCTAAGATCAAGGTAGCGAGGAAAGGAAGGTGATGAATAGGTAGCTCAAAAATACATGTGTTGGACAAATCTAACTCACTCAAAAATTTAAAATCGACAAACGTGTTATTTTCAATTACTTGAAGTTTTAAATTGCCACTCAAGTCTAATGTCTTGAGAGTTTTCAGACCATGGAATGCCAAGCCGTCGATTGCTGTTAGTTCATTGCGTGCCAAGCTTAGATGTATGAGTGAGATATTCCACGGGGTAGATTTACTATTGAGAGTTATGATTCTGTCTGCATCCAATGAAAGAGTACGAAGAGCCATCATTCCGTTAAAGACACTTGGTTCTATCTCTTCCAGATTGTTCCTTCCTAGCTGAAGCTCAGAAACGCCTGCTAAACCATCAAAACCATTGTCTTCAATCATAACTATGCTATTCCATCCAATATCAACTTTGTCTAGATTCTTTCCTTTGAGAGGTGCAAAGAATCCATTCTGGATGGTGTGGAGTTCGCCGCCTGTAAAATCAAACCCTTTAATGAACATTGATAATCTGACGCCATGGAAGAAATTCGTTAGTTGAGAAACTGCTATGCGCGTATTCATCAATATAATTTGCTTGACATGAAACGAAGAGATAACGATGGCTTCAATGAATTCTATTGGATTTGTGGACAAATCTAGCGTTTTCAACATGGTTGTTAAAAATAAACGACTCTTTTGAAATTTGCCGAAATCTGTTTGAATTAAGGTAAACAACACGAAGAAGATTTGAACTGGTCCAGTTTATCTTTCGCAGCTTATTTTCGGAAACAATCAAATCTGCCCCTCGGGCTAAGCATGCAACAATGTCACCTGCAAATGACTCTAAATTAGAAGATATTGCGTTAAAAAATGTCAAGCTCCTAGAACTAAACATTGACTTCTTAAGAGTAGGTAAATATGGGTTGTCATCAATGAACAGGCTAAACAAGTTCTTCAAGGGGTTAAATGCACCTTCATCAATGCGAGATATGTTATTGTCACCTAGGTCGAGCTCACGAAGGCTGGGATACCTCTCAAATGTCTCATTTGTAAGCGTGGTTAGAAGGTTGTAGTCTAGCTGGAGTCTTCTGAGATCAGGTAAGAGATCTGTAGGAACAGACCTGAAGCCCTTATGAGAACAGTAGGCAGCCTTCAGACTGAGGTCCTGAAGACATGATGCTGCCTCGATGGTTTCCCTTCGGTGAATAGATGTAAGAGTAATTATGACGAACAAGGTGGAGTAAAGATCAGACATCCTCATCTTGTTGACGTTTCATGTAACACCTGACAAGTATTTTCCGTGATTGTCCTCCGCCTAATAAAAGAAATGGTATGAAATAGGATACCTTACATGAACATAGTATGAAAAGAAACGTGTATAACCGACTGCCACTGTTTTGTAAATGAAAGTACTGTGGTTTAACGGTACATATTCATGTAGAAGGTATTAAGGGGCTTGCTTATATGCTAATAAATATAATGTTTTTTAATTATTGTTATTATTTGTCGGCTTATTTATAGAAGACTTTCCTGACCCAGGTGCAGGCGCGTACGCAGGGGGGGGTTTGGGGGTTAAACCCCCCCCCTTTGGAAATTTTTTGTGTGTAAACCCCCCTAAAAAAAACCTAAAACCCCCCCCCCCCCCCTTTTGGATTTTTTTTTTTTTTTTTTTTTTTTTTTTTTTTTAATTATTAAAAAAAAAAAAAAAAAAAAAAAAATTATTCCCATGGCCGACCTAAAAAAGGTGACCTTACCCCCCCCCCCAACGGAGCAAAATGTCAAATTTCCAAATTTCGAGACCAAAAAAAAAAAAAAAAGTGTCATCTTACCCCCCCCCCCCCCCCCCCCCCCCCCCCCCCCCCCCCCCCCCCCCCCCCCCCCCCCCCCGCTTATTCAGCGGTCGGCTGAGTCGTTGCGATTTTTTTGGGACCAAAAAAAAAAAATGTGTCCTCTTACCCCCCCCCCCCCCCCCCCCCCCCCCCCCCGCTTATTCAGCGGCTGGCTGAGTCGTTGCGAAATTTTCGGACCGATTTATAAATGTTAAAACCCCCCCTTGAAAAAATCCTGCGTACGCGCCTGCCCAGGTGTATTATCATAGTAAAGGGAAGTCTTCAAAGTGAAACGACAGCTTCAGGGGCGTCGCTAGACCTTTTTCAGTGGGGGGGGGGGTGTAGAGGCCAACGATTACCGACAAAAGTAGCCACCAATTACCGACAAAATTAAATTTCCAATATCTACAAAGTCAACCCTATAAACCTGGGGCCGAAGGCTAAATTGTTTTTCCTATGGACTATCTATAGTACTTGCATATGCGCAAAATGGTCATTTTCCTCGACGACATAAATATACGAATTATTTCTTCAATTCAGTCAGCATCATAGCTATATATTTTAATGCAGGCGCGGAGCTAGGATCTTATTTTAGGGAGGGGCGGCAGTGAGCAAGAGCATCACTTAAAAGCGCGCTCATTAGGGGGTGTGGGTGATGGGCCTCCCGCGCGAAGCGCGGAAGCTTAGACGTTTCCTTAAATTATTAGGAAAAGAAGACGATTAATTGTACCGTTTTCGACTGGTAATCCTAGGCTGAATGAAGTTTCCCCCCCCCCCCTCCCGCGCGTAGCGCGAAAACTTTGACGTTTCATTAAATTATTTTAAAAAAGAAGACGATTTGCTGTCCCATTCTCGACTGTTTATCCTTTTCTAAATTCAGTTCCCCCCCCTCCCGCGCAAAGCGCGGAAGCTTTGACGTTTCATTAAAGTATGAGAAAAAGCAGACGATTCGGTGCACTGTTCTCAACTCTTAATCTTAATCTGAATGAAGCTTCCCCCTCCTGCGCGAAGCGCGGAAGTTTTGACGTTTCATTGAATTATTAGAAAACGAAGACGATTCGTTGTACCGTTTTCGACTTTAAATAAGCCCTATTAATTTTGTCTGAATTCAGTTTCCCCCTCTCGCGCGAAGCGCGGAAGCTTTGACGTTCCCTTAAATTATTAGAGAAAGAAGACAATTCATTGTACCGTTCTCGACTCGTCTAAATAAAGTTTCACCTTCCGCGCGAAGCGCGAAATTTTTGGCGTTTCATCACAATATAGAGAAAGGAAGACGATTCCTCGTACCGTTTTTGACTCTTATTAAGCCCTATTCATCTGAATTCAGTTTCCCCCTCTCGCGCGAAGCGCGAAAGCTTTGACGTTTCCTCAAATTATTAGAGAAAGAACAAGATTCGTTGTACCGTTTTCGACTCTAAATAAGCCCTATTAATTTTGTCTGAATTCAGTTTCACCCTCTCGCGCGAAGCGCGGAAGCTTTGACGTTTCCTTAAATTATTAGAGAAAGAAGATGATTCGTCGTACTGTTCTCGACTCATCTAAATGAAGTTTTCCCCTTCCTCACGAAGCGCGGAATTTTGGGCGTTTCATCACAATATAGAGAAAGGAAGACGATTCCTCCTACCGTTTTCGAATCTTATTAAGCCCTATTCATTTGAATTCAGTTAACCCTCTCGCGCAAAGCGCGAAAGCTTTGACGTTTCCTCAAATGATTAGAGAAAGAACAAGATTCGTTGTACCGTTTGCGACTCTAAATAAGCCCTATTAATTTTGTCTGAATTCAGTTTCACCCTCTCGCGCGAAGCGCGGAAGCTTTGACGTTTCCTTAAATTATTAGAGAAAGAAGACGATTCGTCGTAATGTTCTCGACTCGTCTAAATGAAGTTTCCCCTTCCGCGCAAAGCGCGGAATTTTGGGCGTTTCATCACAATATAGAGAAAGGAAGACGATTCCTCGTACCATTTTCGAATCTTATTAATCCCTATTCATCTGAATTCAGTTCCCCCCACCCCCCTCTCGCGCGAAAGCGCGAAAGCTTTGACGTTTGACGTTTGACGAAGCGCGAAAGCTTTGACGTTTACTTAAATTATTAGAGAAAGTACACGATTCGTTGTACCGTTTTCGACTTTTAGTAAGCCCTATTTGTCTGAATTCAGTTTCCCACTTTCGCGCGAAGCGCGGAAGCTTTGACGTTTCCTTAAATTATTAAACAAAGAAGACGATTCGTTGTACCGTTCTCGACTCGTCTAAATGAAGTTTCCCCTTCCGCGCGAAGCGCAGAATTTTTGGCGTTTCATCACAATATAAAGAAAGGTAAACGATTCGTCGTACCGTTGTTGACTCTTAAACCTTGTTTGAATTTAGTTTCCCCGAAAATGTTTAACCTCTGATTTCTTTAGCTGATATTATAGGAAAGCGAAACTTCGAGAAAATACAAGTATTGTAGTTGTAGTCACTCTCGAAGTTGTCACAGCGGATAAGAAGTCACAGTTCGTAGGGAAAAAAACTTGTCGGCCGACCGACAATATACATCCCACCGACTTCAAACTTATGCATTGATATAGTACACGAGCAAGAATACCGACACAGCAGACCCGACACAGCAACATATTTACCCGTGTCTTCCTTGCTCCCTCGACGAGACGACTCCACCCAACAACCCCCTTCTCTCTTTTACTCCCACTCCTCCTCTCTCAGACTCTTACCTCCCCTCTCTCTCCTCTCTTTCATCCCCCGTTTCTTTTGTTTCCCTTTCACTCTTTTATCTTCTTTTTTCCTTTCTTTTCTTTCTTTTCTTTCTTTTCCTTTCTTTCCTCTCCTCCCTCTTTTTCTTTTTTCTCTTTCTTTCTTCTCTTTTCCTTCCTTTCTTTTCTTTTCCTTTCTTTCCTTTCTTTTCCTTTCTTTCTTTTCTTTTCCTTTTCTTTATTTCTTTTCTTTCCCTTTCCCTCTCTTTTTTCCCTCTCTTTTTTTCCCCTCTCTTTTTTTCCCTCCCCCTTTTCTCTTTTTCCCGACGGCAGCGCAATTTTACCGACAATATCCTGACAGGTGGGGGGGGGGGGGTGTCGCACCCCCACACCCCCCCCCCCCTTTGGCGACGCCCCTGGACAGCTTGCAAAAGGAAGGGGCAAACTTAATCTGAATACCGTTCGTTTTTTGTTTTGACTGGATTTGATTTATTTGTCTTGTTTATTTGTCTTTATTGTCTTTTCCCAACTTTACTTTACAAATTGATTACAACATAATAAACAATAAATTAATATGACTGATACAACAGAGAAATATAATAACCCTAGCATTACAAACGGAGCTAGAAGGCGTGACGATCTTTAAAAAAATGATTTCAAACTATTTACCGACTATGTACAAAATAGGGATGGAAAAATAGGGACAGTGCCATACAGAAACTATAGCTCATAAGTTTGAATGTTAACATTTTTCTTCCTTCTAAATGACCCTCATCTACCCATGTATGTAAATGATTAATCGGCAATTATACGCATAAAAATTACTATACATTAGCACATAGAGAAGAAAACTAAGTCCAAGTTTGGGGAGTACTTATAAATGAAACTTTGACTTCGAATGATCATTTACACCACGTAACAATTTGCATTTCTAAAAGTATTGGAATAATCTCCAAGCTACAGTTTCTCCTACCCCCATGCAACCTTATTCCTACTATATAATTCGCTAGTTCTCCTGTATATAACATATTGTAATAGTGTATGGGCAAATTAAATTCTATTTTTAAACTGCAAAAGAAGGCCTTACGTATTTGTACAGGTTCGCATTTCTTAGCTCACATTGATCCTTTATTCTATAAACTTAATACACTAACAAAATTCGATCTGAACACTACTCAAGTAGCAGTTATTACGTTTAAGTACATTAATAATCAACTTCCACCATCCTTTGATAACATTTTCAGGTTTAATAGTCATGTTCATTCATAACCTACTCGCATATCTGGAAACTCCCATCTTACAAATCCCAAAATATCAATAACACACAAATCAGTTAGACATTCTGGCCCGGACATTTGGAATAATTTTCCCGACAACATAAAGTCTTGTTCAACCATCTACTCCTTAAAAGCTACACTTAAACGACAAATAATACGATCATACGCTCCCCAATCTTTAAATTAGTATAATAAAACCGTGTCTTATTTTATTCTTTATGATGCAACTGCTTTCTGCACCTGCACTTGCACTGCACCCACCTCCAGCCTAACCGCTCACGATGGTGGTCTCCTGCGTTCTAAATTACTTCTCTAATTATTTATTGAAAATAATTGTACATGATTTTCTATTTAATTACTTTTGTAAACATTTTATTCATTGTATTTGTTATTGTTCGAATCTTTGAACGCAGAAATAAAATCAATTAAACAAACAAACAACATACCATGTTTGAAAGGTATTTTTAAACG